ATAATCACTAATTTTTTAATCAAAATAATAATTATTAATTTCAAAAATTTGATTTTAAACAGTGAAAAATAATCATCACAATGTGTATTACAGAATAAAATAATAGAATATTAATAATCAGAATTTAAAATTTAAAACGTAAAAATATTTTAGGCTTCAAAAGCGTGAAGTCAGTTCAAGTTTTGACTGCTTGAAACAGTGAAAGTGTATTATTGCTTGAATAAGTAGGAGAGATATATCTATGCCATTTATTCTGAAATGATGAATTACGTTTTGCAAAATTAAATTAATTTCTCGTTTTAATAAAGATAATAAAGTAGTGAGAAAATATTTGGCTTTCTTTCAATTTGAGTAAAAAAGTAATGCTAATTTTGCTAACTCAAAAATTTTAGTTTTAAGTTTACAAAATTGAAAAAGCAAAAAAAAGTGAGTAATTTAAAACGCAAATTTTCATTTCTTTCAAAAATATTTGCATGAACACACACTCTTATAGATAGACATAAGTAAACATATCTAAAAGTAAGCAAATACAAATCTTTTGGAATCTTCGAAGATGGATTTTTAAAGAAAATATTTACATTATTAGACTAACTTTTGGTCTAAAAATGCACATTTCACAGTTTATGAATGAATACGTATGAGTGAGTGAGTGACTACTGAGTGCACGTAGGCTTGAATATACTTTGAGAAACAATACTGAGAGGAAGTCTGGGCTTCTGCTCAATTCAACTTTTCATTTATAGTCTATAAGTGAGTTTAATATTATTGCTGCTGTTAATAATTTTATTGTCATCACTATTCTTCCTCATTCATTGTTAGCACTAATTTTTTCACTATTTGAAGTGCTAGTCTTTCACAGAAGCATAGGAAGACATTTAATACGCAGACGTGAAACTTAAAGTGAAGATTAAAATTATTAACCAAGTAAGTCTATAGCAAACTTTAGACCTTTTTCTTTGCCCTAACTAATTTGCTATTTTAAAGCGAAATTTTAGGGAAAAAAGCTATAGAATTCGTATTGAATTTAACTTTTAGCACATGTCTTTAGTAAATTTTCTTCTATTTATTATTTCATACTTTCTAATTTTTGAAACTGTAATAAATATACTGAATTCTAAATTAAATAGTTCTGCTAAATTGGCAGCACTTACAAAATAGATCATTACATTTTAATTGCAATTTTATTGAACTGTAAAAACCGCTTTTAGTTGATCTTCATTATATCATAAGATAATACTTAGTAGTATACACTCGACAAAAATTAATTTAAATTTAATTAGTACACAAAGTTTCATGGAATTTTGTTAATCAAATCGTTTTAATAGTCGTAATTTAATGCGAATATTGTGTATGAAATCATTGTGTACTTGAATACTTTCATTAAAATGTTTATCTATCAAATCCTACACTTTTAAATGTGGCTTTTATTGAAGTAAGTATGATTTTATTATTATTCTATATGAAAGATCTGCTAAAAATTATTTGTATCGAAAGCGGAAGTGAAGGTTGAAGCCTATTTTAAAAGTGAAACTACTGCAAGAACCCTTGACAGTTTCTTTTTTGTAAACTTGTAAAAGTTACAAATTGTAATGGCAGCTTTCTTACTTATTTCAAAGTAATGAAAATCACAAAAAAATACTAACTGCATTTACAAGTCTTTCAAGTGATGAACTGTGCACAAGAAAAGACCTGATCTTAACTGTCATCTCTATCAAGTATAAGGTAGTGATAAAAACTGAACTTAAGATGTACTGATCTGAAAAAAGAGTTGATATTTACTGTATGATAATTTTGTTTCAAATTTGATCTGAACTGAATTAATGATTATTTATTGCACAATTAATATACTACAATTAGATAAAATTCCTTTGCAGTCAAAATTTGGTTTATCAGTGATTCTTTTTTAATTTCAAATAGGCACAGCTCAAATTGTATTAGCAAATTGAATTCAATTAAGAAATTTGTAGAATTTCAGATTTTTCTTAAATTTAAAGCAATAGTAACTCAAGACACATTTTTAAGTTCAGTCGTTATCTCAGTCTTATATTTAACAGAGATGATAATGAAGATTTATACTTTTTAATTATTCGCTATCACATTTTTACTTCATTACATTTTAAGTCAGCGTGTCACGATAGTATTCTGAGGTTGAAACTGAAGAATATGAGAAAACTGAAAATATTTTATGTAATTCATTTTTTGAGTAATACGTACAATTAGTGAGATAGACTGGCACTAAAAAACACATAATATTATAACGTTTTAACACGTCAAATTCATTATTCAGTGAATGCAGTTAGTATTGGCTTGATTAGAATGAAAACGAATGAAATCAAGCCTGATGAAGAAGATTCATTTGCTGAAGAGTTTGCTATTAAATGGGAACGTCAAGTACGCTTGGAATCTGATAAATCTGTCAGTGGGGGCTTAGCTTTCCGTTTAGCTGGAAGCAAAACACATGGTGTATTCGTTCAGTACGTGAATCAGAAGTCAAAACAGGTAAGAGACTTAAAAATAGTTGGACTGATTTGGGATCGAAATACATTATAGAAATAAATACTCATTTAAAATTTCTATCCTTATGAATTCAAAGATTCAAAAAAAAAGCTGGAAAGTATTTTTTTTCAATTAAGTACTATTTTTGGATATCAAAAATCAATCATACCTCTAAAATATGTGTAACCAAATATCAAAAAAACTAACAAACTTTCGGTTTCCACTTTAAAAATTTATGCTAAATTGAGATTTAATGCAAAAAATCAGTATCTAAAAACAAGTAAAGCCAAAAAATCAGTTCATGCTTGGCAGTTACACTAAAAAGTTATAGTCAGAAATTCTCTACAAAGGTGATCGAATACTGGAAGTCAATGGTGTGGACGTTAGACGCTGGACGTGTGATCAAATTGCTAACATATTACGCTTAGTTGTACAAAACAAAGGCTATGTTCTGTTGCAAGTAATTCACATTTTTCACGTCTTAACATTAAAAAATTTGCAAATATGCAAATTTCATAAGTGATTGGATTAGTATAATAAATAATAACTTTATAAAAACAGTTTAGACATTAGAAATACATTTAAATGGGTTAAAGAAGTTTGAACGTTTGCAAAATTGTTAAATTCCCAAAAGAGCAAAAGCATGTTTTATAGAAATTCTAATCTAATTCAGAAATTGTTAGCATTATTAGGTAGGCGTCAGTCGTCAGCTGCACAACAGAAAAGGAGTGATCTATGAAATTACCAAAGATGCAAATAGTAATTTGCAATATTGTTATCCTTCACGCGACCTGACTTATAGCTACAATAGTAGCCTTCCGGCGTCTACTTCTGATACGACTGATTTGAGCCAGCAAAAAATTTATGAGAAGGTTACTTTTAATTAAGCATTAAGTATAATTAAGCTATTAGCTATATAGTCTTGAAAGAAATAAAGCTCACGTTAAATTTCTGATTCACTTAAATAAGAAGAGAAATTTAAGATTAGTCTGATCATTCCAATTCAAATATTTGCTAAGCTGAAAGTGAGGTCAGTTTCACACGAGTTTTTTTGAACTTGTCAAAATTAGTACATTTTAGACCGGAACATGTACTGTGCATTATCGTCAAAAGGTATCGTCAAGAAAATCCATGCATTTTAGTTGCTACAATCAGAACGATGAACAGCAATATTCATCTTGTCATCAGCAAAAGTAAAATTTAACTTGAAAATAGCTGAGAACTATTTCGATAAAAATGAATTCCAAAATTTGCCTTTTTTGCTGAAAAATTATTTTTGAAAAAAGTCGATGAATAACTTTACAGAAGAAATTTAATTGAAACCGCACAATCAAGTAAATATGGAACTCAAAGCCGATATGACGATGAATTTGATTGTGTTCAGTACTCGCAGTACTTTTCTAAGGTTTAGCTTACTTTCAATAACTTTTTAATCATTAAAGTTCCAGACTGCTTTGAATATATTTAAAATCAGCTAAACAACATCTGAAATTAATTGCTGTTAATATTCATTATTTGATTGACAGATTGCTATGCAAGAAAAAATTTGAATTACTGAAATTGTTGGAAGGGATAAATCCCAGATATGCGTTTTCATATTTTGCATTGATTCCTAAATTTCTAGTCGTAACTTCAGGCAAAAATTTTTCTACTTTACAAATAAACAAACTTGAACTGTCCACTCATTTCAGAAACATTGGCATGCTTTAAAACATCGGTGGGTGACCAATGCAATGAAACTTTTACCAAAGTCAGCATCAGAATTCTTCGGGCTTCACATATATCACAAAGCGTATTATAATTTGATTTAGAATCTGATTCAGCAGTTCATTATTATGGTACCATGATTTTGTAATTTTAAATGTGTTCAAATAAAAATTTAAAGTTATTTTAAAAACGGAATTATTTGTTTTTGATTGTAATGAAAATTCTTTGAAGTACTAAAATTGATTCATTAATAAGTAAATTTTATTCAATACTTTTACACGCCAAAAATTGCTTTCGATTAGATTTTTTGCATATTTTGAAAGACATTAGTTGGAAATTCTAAAAACCTTTGAAACCCTCTGAAGACATTATTATTTTTTTAATGAACAGAGCATAAAGAATCCATCAAAACTGTATAATTCCTAACTTTTTTCCATTTAATTTTGACGTGCTTTTCAGTGTTGAAGGCAAAATACAAATAGCATATACTACAATAAAATAAAATTACTTCTAGCATTGCCAGACATTTATGACTAAATTAGAGTTAGATCAAACTATCAATTATTAGGTAGACCAAACAAAGTATTCTGGCCATTGTGTTCCACTTTCATCCATATTTCTTAGGCTCATTAATTTTTAAGTTGTTTTCCCTCTCATTTTTGCACGCCAATAAGTCCCAAATTAAACTTCTGTCATTACTTTTTGTTTTTATACTTTGTAGAAATTACTTTTTCTATCGCTTTACTGATGAAAATGAAATGTTCATTTTTTGTATGCTAACCAATAAATTTGTAAATGATCTCAGTACGAATAAATTTTTAAAAAAAAATTTAAATTTAAAGTAATTATTAAAACACAAAAATGCTTACCGTTTGTGACTGTGAAAGTATTCTTCGACGTAAATTTTTGCTTCTTTCTATCGCAATAATTTTTGAACAAAGTTGTTCGAATAAACATTAATATCAAAATTTTTTGTCACAGTACAAAAATAAGTAATTTAGTGCTGAAGAAATGAAAAGGTGCTTAATTACTGTGCGAGCAGTCTATTGCATTTAATTATTCAAATTTTTTGAAATCACAAAATTCATTGTAATGATTAGTATTTAAGCAACTTTCCTCTGCTTTACATTTATTTACGTTTCTAAGCTTTACTGTCTACCCATGTCATTGGTTACTACACCTTTTCATAATGCAGGAATTGAATTCAAAGCACAGTACCGATTAGGGTAATTGCACCAAACTCAATTAAAGTTATTACTCTCAACAATATGAAAATAGATTATACATTCCATACATTGTTATGCTTTTAGAATTGCCTACGTACGTCAGACTTTAAACGTAAAACAAATCCTTTAAAGTTTTCACACGTCGCTTTTTAAGAGAATATTTAGAGACTATAAAATAATTTTTCACCAATTTTTTTTAAATTTTCTATCAAAACTGCTTCAAATTTAGACAGCCGGAGAATGAAGGCCATATTCGAAGGGTATATCCAAATTTTGTCACAGATTATATGAAAAATAGTTCACTTATTATAGTATTTACTCATTCATATTATCACAAAATGCGCAAAGATCATTTAACTACCGAAATTGGTCGATCACTTTTCGCCACTGTACACGGTGTACGATATATCGAATGGTAAAGTAATAAATTGATAATTTAAAAAATGATCATTGGTAATTACCTTCATTAATTAAGTACATACAGTAATCAGTTTAGCGTTTTTTTAGTTCAAATGTAAGTTAAAAAATGTATAATCGGTAGTTTTCTGTACATTTTCTCCAAGTTTACTGCAATTTAATTTCTAGAAATGTTTTGTTTTAATTTATGTATCACTCATAATTTGTTTATTCATTTTCTGAAGGACTTTACACGTAAAGAAAATTGAACGAGAATTCTCAATTGAATTGGTAAGGCACACTAATGCAAATATTAAAGGTGAATTTCGTATTCAGTTCAGCGCACAATCTAAAACTGGCAAGAAAAGTGGGTTATTTTACTCGCTGAAAATTTAATTTGATCGAAGTTTTTGATAATATTACTAAATAGCTAAAAAATTAGTAACTGAAAGACTAAAGCAAATAACTCATTCTAAAAATATTTTTTAATAAATTACTATCAATTTTTATTACCCAAAAGCCTACATATTTTATTTGAAATTTTTAGCAAACACTTTAATATTCATTAATATAAGAGCCTAAGCCTAAGCCTAAGCCTAAGCCTAAGCCTAAGTCTAAGCCTAGGTCTAACCCTAAGCCTAAGCTATTATTTTAAGGCAAGGCAAACCATTTTTATCTGTAATTCACAAAGTAACAACTGTTTATCTAACCACAGTTAACCATAAAAACAATTAATTCTTCTGCTGCTATGATAAATTTTTGCTTAAAAAAGGGCAAATTTAAATGCTGCACAGAAATTGTGCAAAATTTAAGCACAGTAGGCAGAAAATAAATAGCAGTTTGTCGTTTTAAAGAAAAGTTATATTAAGGAATAGTTACTGAATTCTTTCATCAATTATTTATCAAGTAAGCAGAGTAATTAATTAATAATCATAATGAAAATGACAAGTATAAGTAAGTCATTAATGGTGAAAAGAGTTTTTACTTTTTTTCAAAATTTTCTATTGAATGCATTGTTTTTTGAATTTATTATTAATTACTCTCAGTGGGAGTTTTTCAGTGGGAGTTTTTCGTCTCAAATATTATATTTCCTTTGAGCGAACACGAGCAAAATGCAAATTGAAATAAAATATTAATAAATGTATTTATCATAAAGTGACCTTTACTAAGAACTTAATTTTTAAAATTAAGCTCAACTTCTGAAAGAAGTAATAAAGACAAATTTTAATAAAATTTTCCACATAAAAATAATTGTTGAACGTATAATTGCTAGAATTAATTAATTAATAACTGTTGGTTATATTGAAAACGATATTAACTCATTCTACCGCTTACTTATTAAATTATATTGCATATGTCTCTCATCCTCTATATTCATTAACAAAGCGATTCAATCAAAATTTTACATCGGACATGGTGTATTTTTCAACCAATTTCTTTGCATTATTAAGATAATTGACATATCTGAAGTTTTTGTGCATCATAAATACCATATTTTTTAATCACAAAAATTTATATTGACTTAATTTTGGAATGATTATTTAAGAATGTCATCTTTGCATTACAATTACAAGCAGAAATTGGATAAGACTAGTACCGTATATATAGGACCTTAATTCACTTCAAAGTCTTGTGCCCTAAGGTTAAGGATTTATTAAAAAAGGCCATCTTTACTGTTTTTGGAGTAGTTGACGTAACTGTGTCTTGCAAAGAGAAATAAGCTAAGCAATTAACTTGGACGTGAATACGTCAGATGTGATAAATGATACAGTTATATTTAATATTTGTATTAATTTACTCTCTTCTCTCTTTTAATATCAGTTGGTTTGATTATTCGAGAAAAATGGAAATCGGAAAATTATAAAAGAGTCTTAGTACTGTTGATATCGCAATAAATTTATCAGTATTTTTAAAATATGTTTATTTTTGAAATGAGTGCAAGAAAATAATTTGAAAGCAAGTTTTCAACAGCTTTAAATTGTTTTTAAATTCAAAAACCTTAACATATCTTTTATTCAGTTCAAAGCTTCTCGGCTAAATGGCATGCTCTGGAACACCGTGTAGAATACGTTCCAGAATATACCGATAAGTTAACAGAATTATATGAAAATGACGAATTCAATCCAGGTTTACTGAAGATTGAAGTGAAAGTAGCATTTGCTTTGGTAGATTTCTTGTACACAAAACCAGAAATCGAACCAAAATTAAATTTGATGGAAGAAGAAAATGATGAGAGGATTGCTGCACTTACATTAGCTAATGACGATAGCCATGATTCGTAGGCTTTTATGATTTTGACAGAATTACTATAAACAGTTTCTGAGCAATTTGAGAGACTTTAAAAGCTTAACAAAATTGAAAAAATGCTCTAATTTGAGAGAATTTTTGACTTTCTTACAAAAGACAAAAGATTCTCACAAATCAAAAAAGTTGATAGTGAATTCAGTCTTTGGAGAAGTAACTGAGATTTTTGAGTCATAAATAAGTACTTCAACAGCTTAATTGAAATAGCAATTAATTTATATACAACTCAAAAATGACAGAAATAACATTTGAACTTATGTTTTTTGTAATATCAGACTCCAACCTCGACAGACTATTTTTAAATTCCATAAAGTTTCTGTTCAAAAATTGATTTTTCAAAAGTATATTCAG